CCCCAAAACCCCAAAACCCCAAAACCCCTTTGAGTTGATTAATCCAATAAAATGAAATTTATAATTAAAAATGGGTAAAAGAGACGAAAAAAGAAGCAGATCAAGAAGTTAATCAGATTCTTAGTCTGAAGCATCATCTCCAGATAGGAGAAAAGATAAGAAAAAGAGATCTCACAAAAGAAAAAGTTCAAAAAGAAGAGAAAAGAGATCTAGAAGCAGAGACAGAAGAGATAGGGAAAGACAGAGATCAAATAATAGAGACAGAGGCGGTGGAAACAGAGGAGGAAAAAGAAGGGATGATGGTCACTTCAGATTTGACTCTCCCCCTAAGGATCATGAACTTACCAAAGGTATAATGGCAGCAGCAGCTAGTATCGGAGGAGGTACTATAGCTAATGCATAGAGTATACTCTAAAGTATTCACTCTATGTCGATGGCATAAACTGCTAAAATTGATAGAAAACTTTATGTCGGAAATCTACCTCCAGGAATTACTTAGAGAATGTTAATTGATGTTGTTAATGAAGCCATGCTAAGTTTAGGAATTATTGAGGAACCTGGGAATCCAGTAGTTAGTGCTTGGATTTCATCTGATGGTCACTATGCCTTCGTTGAGTTTAGAACTGCCGAGGAAGCCAATCATGGCTTTTAGCTGTAAGGAATGAACATTCAAAATTCAGAGATTAAAATTGGAAGACCAAAAGCTTATAATGGAACTATGAATGCTATTGGACTTATGACTGGTGGAGTAGGAGGTGGACCTTTAGCTAATGCTGCATTACTAGGAATGAAAGGGGGAGTTTATCATGCCCTCGATGATAATACAACATCTGGTATTTAAAATCCATTGATGGGTGGGAAAATGGCAGATGAAATAGTAAATATTTAACTTCCAAGTAGAGTGCTAGTTTTAAGGAATATTGCAACTCTCTATGATATAAGAGATGATAACCTTTTCTGTGATTTCTAATCAGATTTAATGGATAAGTGTTCTCAATATGGAAAAGTTCTAGAGTTGAAAATACCTAGGCCTATTTGGCATGACAGAACAGAGTAGAATATATTAGAGGATGAAGCAAAGGAGAAAGCTTAGAAAGAATAGCTAGATAAGGAGAAAGAAGAACTCGATGCAGATCTACTTACATCAAAGAGAAAAGCTGCAGAACAAAAGAAAAGAGCATTAGAACCACTTCAAGATCCTAGAAATTATGATTATCCTATTGGATTTGGAAGTGCTTTTGTCGAGTTTACATCAGTTAATGAAGCAAAAAGGGCAAGAAAGAACATACATTTATTAAAGTATGGAGGAAGATTAATAGAGTGTGAATATCAAGATGAAGTAAAGTTTTTAATGGGAGATTTTTCTAAACCTGCACCAGTTAAGATGGAGACCAGAGATTAGGAATTTGAGGGTCTTGAAAACTGTGCAATTGAATTTACTGAGCCAAGGTAGAGCTAGCCAATGAAATTATGATTTAGTCTCTTAATTAATTTCTTAAATCAATCGTAATTGAAATAATATCAAGAATCGGGGTTTTGGGGTTTTGGGGTTTTGGGGTTTTGGGG